CTCCCAAGTAGCTGGGACCACAGGCACCCGCCACAGTGCCCGGCTATTTTTTGGTTGCAGCCGTCATTGTTGTTTGGTGGGCCTGGGCTGGATTCGAACTTGCCACCTTAGGTGTATGTGGCTGGTGCCTTAGCCACCTGAGCCACAGGCGCCAAGCCAGATTACATTGTTTTTAATTCTAAGGTAAAATTTAAGTTGTGGTTGAGCTCTTCACCCAGGGGCATGCTGAACACCCTCACATTGTGCACAGTAGTTGAGATCCCACCAATCACACTCCCTCCTCCCTTACCCTCCCCCTTGCTAGACTACATTTGTGTTTTATCATTTGTGTGGGCATGTAGTTGTTTATATATTGGTTTCATATTAGTATTGAGTATATTGGATTTTTTTTTCCCATTCTTGTGATACTTTACTAAGAAGAATGTGTGTTCACTCCATCCAGGTAAACATAAAAGATGTAAAATCTCAAAAATATGGAATACTTCATGAATTTGCATGTCATCCTTGCACAGGGGCCCTGCTAATCTCTGTTTTGTTCCAATTTTAGTATATGTGATTTCAAAGCGAGCACCAACTCTGCTACTTCTATGTGACATGGAGAAAGTTATTCAACCTCCCTGAGCCTCACTTTCTCCATCCATAAAAGGGACAGTAATGCTTACCTTATACTATTATTCTGACATTAAATGAGGTAGTATACCCTCCTATTAGCACTTATTGAGGGTATACCATCTTCCTTTCTTTCCTTTCTCTTCCCTGAGACATTGGGAATGTCCTGATACAGTGCCTATGTCAGCTAGATTATGAGTTCAACTTCATGCAGTGGAGACCTCAAATAACAGTGGCCTAAGTGAGGTAGAAATTGCCTTCTTTCTATTATACAGTGTGGTCTAGGGCTGGTAAGGTGGCTCTGAGAAATGAATTCATCCAAGGACCCAGTGCTGCCCTCTCTCTCTGTTTACCTTCATCTGCAGTGCCTAAAATACTTCCCTGCCAGGACTGAATTCCAAACAGAAGGCTGAAAGGAGGAAAGGAAGGAAAAAAGGCCATGATGGGCATGACCTGTCACTGCCATTTGCAGGTCACTGATCAGAACTTCGTCCCATGGTCATACCTAAATGCAGTGGGAGGTGGGAAATGTAGTCTTTATTCTGTTGACCATGTTTCCTGTTAAAAAGGAGGGATCTGGGGCAGTGCCTGTGGTTCAAGGAGTAGGGTGCCAGCCCCATATACCGGAGGTGGAGGGTTCAAACCTGGTCCCGGCCAAAAACTGCAAAAACAAAACAAAACAGGGATCTGGACATTGAGGACAACCCAGAATTCCTGCCACCAGTGCCAGTAAAGCAACCTTCTGAGTTGGAGCTGAATGAATCGTCTCTTTTGGAAGGAAATCTTGTAGGTTCCTGGGGAAGCTGGACAGCTACAAACACAGCCCAGTCAGGAAAAAGCTCCCAGAAAAGAATTTATTTGCCCAGGATAGGCAAAAATCACCAGTTTGTGTTTTTCCAGAGGCAAGAGGCTCAACCAACCTCCTATAATTTGGTCTGGTTAGCTTGACAATTGATGGGCAGCAGGGGTAGGGGTGGGGATCTGAAAGTTAGGGTCTCAAGCTAAGTGCTCTGATCAGCACTTAGGCTATGTCCTGTGGGAATGTGCTGAGTCTCGAGGAGACCTCAAAGGTCAATGATTTCATAAGTTCCACAAAGCCTTTCCTGATCTACCAACTGAAAGAGGGTCACTCTCTCTGAAACGCCATTATACCTGGAGTAGACATCTGTTGGTTTTCACTAACTGTACTCTTTTCTCTTCTGGTTTTTTCTTGGTAGAACCAGGACTCCTATACATTGCTTTGGTTTGAGATGAACTGTCCTTGTCCATAGGACCCAGGGTTTTGGTCCAGGACCCAGTCCTAGATCAAAGCACTATTTCCCCATGGCTGTGTTCAAGAGTGGGCATGTGAGTCAGGTTGGTCCAATAAGAGTCTTTAGCTAAAATTATTTTAAAAGTGGTGCTCTTTTTGATATAGTATTACTAAACTGGTAGGATATACACCTAAAGCTCTTGGTGGCCATCTTTCCAGAGGAAAATGAAGTCACCTCAAAGAAATGATGTAAAGATTTCTGATGGCATCATTTGAACATTTTTTTTTTTTTTTGGCAGAGTCTCACTCTGTCACCCTAGGTAGAGTGCTGTGTTGTCACAGCTCACAGCAACCTCAAACTCTTGGGCTTAAGCGATTCTCTTGCCTCAGCCTCCC